CCGTTACTGCTGCTGCTGCTGCTGCTGCTGCTGCCGCTGCCACTGCTGTCCCTGACAGGACTCTGGCAGCTCTACTTCCACTAATGAGGCAAAATCTGCAAAGTCATGGAGTGGCAGAGAAACGGAGGAGGAAGAAGCTCATTACTGCCTTTTAGTTCCTTCAATTGCTCATTTGTACCACAGGCCATCCGTCCCATTTCAATTGTGTACAGTTTCCTGAGAGATATCTGATTCCATGACTTGGAATTGTCGTATCCAGACCAGAACTGTCTTCCTCTTAGGTTTTCTTTTTTTCTGTGTTAGGATATAAAATCTACATCACAGGGAGAGTGGTGACAAGACAGGACCAGGGTAAGATAAGATAAAGCCTTATACTGTGTGTGTGTGTGTGTGTGTGTGTGTGTGTGTGTGTGTGTGTCCCTGAGAGCAGTGTTGGTTGTAAAATCTCATGGCAGCAGAAGAGAACTTCTGGAAAAGTCTATCACCAGGAGAGTTGGCGTCTTTTTGATTTCTTCTACAACCTCCATAGATCAAGGGGAGGAGGGGGAGGAGGTGGAGGTGGGGGGTGCATCATAGGAAAGTGTGTCTTTCTTCCTAATTTGACTGGACTCCGCCCATGTGCAGCCGACCTGCTGCTGTGACCGAACCCAACAGAATGGGACTCAGGCCCCCGACGGTGGCATTAAAGGTCGTACTGTGACAGAATAAGAACGCCAACTCTGGTCAAGAAATGAAAAGAAAATGAACTAGAATGTGATTACAAAAATATTCGTAATAATTAAGGACTTTTCATCGATGACCCCCAAGCATGAACGGATGTGTTCCAAATCCATTTTTAAATGAACCCTAACCATGTTCTTATCTTATCCATTTAAAGCTGGTATCATATAACTGCTCCGCCTTCCTTTTCTCTCCACAGGTTACCAACAAGTCAAGGAAATTACAATGATTCAGTGAAGAGCAATCCAGGAGTGGAGCTGAAGGCAGGAGGTGGGCCGTGGACCTCCAGGGTCAGTCAGTTCAGCAGCAACATGTGGATAATTGATCTAAAAGGTGATCTTAAGCACACACTCTGCACAGGCTTTCAGACAGCATATATCTCAAGTCTCTGACTGTGTCTGAAACGCCCCCTACACTTTAGGTTGTGTACTATGTCCCAACGTTTAGTGAGTGAAGTAATCCACTATAAAGGGCATGCAATGTATAATAATTCAATTCAGACATCGGTTCCAGCATGTCCGTGTTGTTGTTGTTGTTGTTGTTGAATTAGGGTCCGATTTAAGTTAGCGTAAAGATCATAATTATTCACATATTTGTAATATTTAGGGTTGGTCTAAGGATCTATGTTTTTTAAGCATTAATTCTTCTACTACTTCCACCATGCAACTACACAGTTTGGTCCATACTGTAGGATGTGTAGGATACTGTACTTCAGGGGCGGTCAGACATTTCCTGGACTAATGTCTGAATGGGACCTTCAGTTCTAAACTAGAGTTGACTCTGCATTTTTGCCCAGTAGGTGAGATTGTTGCTTGGTGTCCCAACACTGTAAATGTTTTGAGTTCTTCCCTGTGGGTTCACAGAGTCATTCCCTCCAGCAGCTGATGTCCTAGACGACACCTGTGTCATGACCCAGCTCTGGTGGTCAGTGTGTAAACTCAGGGAATCTAACTGGTAACAAGGGTCAAACTGTATCTCATGCCCAGATGGACGTCTGTCTTAAGGCGTTACATAGGACGTGGTCAAACCGTAACTAGGTCTAGATGTCATGTGACACGTAGGTTTGTGCTGAATGTGCACAGTAATAAACGTTCTGCCACCACAGCATACTCAATAGAAGGAAAGAGCAAACTTTTGTTTCTGTTTTACTGGCGGGCAGGTGGTGTGATAAATCTGACTTCCTGCTGGTCACTTTAAAAGCAGCTCGGCCTGATTCTGCAGAGCCTCCAGACTTGGCTGTGTGCAGAGAAACATGGAGACACCATCCTGTCACCGATTCATCCTCAGGGTTAAACTGGACATTTAGACGCTGTGTCCAAATGGTACCAACATCTACACAGCGGACATTTATGGGTAGTTTTAGCTGTCCCATGCCACGTTTGATCAGTTTGAACTTAACCTTGAAACTTTGTGTTATTTATTTGCTTAGTGTTGAATGCTAAATTAAAAAATAAAATAAAATACTGTCGTCCCTCGCTGCACGGGTTTTGTTAAAAAATTATAAAAAAATTAAAAGACATGTAACATATACATAAAGGGTATTGCAAGATATAACCTGTATGTACGGGTAGACAAGATTTGTGAAAGTATCGTTACGTTTTCTTGCCATATTTCACACCCTACGATGCCTGCTAAAGGGTTCGTAAAGGGTTAATGCATATGTAATAATAATACAATAGCTATTGCATCGCTACTTCACGGTTTTACGCCTATCGCGTCTTGGAACGTAACTAATTCTAGTTCAGACATCTATGTGAAACAAGCATGAAAAAATAAATTGCTTGTTTTTCAGCAGTTTACATTTCGAGCAGTAAACTGCTCAAGATGGTGCCACAGATGTTCCAATAAAACAGTTTTTGTTGGTGATAAAAGTGTCAAATGAAGTTGAATGAACTTTGTCATTTTTTTTTCCAAGTAGAGAAACAAGTTGTTGTTGCGAATCTGTCTAAATCTGATCATTTTATTTATCTTTTAACCATGGACACAGAGGAAATCACGGCTGCTCCTTGTCAGGTCTGTTAACATCTACCATCAGATACTAACAGGTGTTGGACTTCAGTCGTCAGCCTCTCCCCGTCATCTTCATCTTCACAGCTTTAGTTTAGCATTCAACTGGAGAGCTGTGATTGGTTCTCCACCAACAGATGCCTATCAGAGCAGCAGCTTCTTTTATCAGTGGAGACCCAAAAGGAAAAGACCATTTAACCTGGACCAAATGATTAGATCTCTGGGTCAAGATAAGAACCTGAAGATCAGACTAGTGGTTATAAGGCACAGGGCTCTGACACCTACATAGGGGTGGTCAAAACGTGGCTGCCTCGCTTTAAAACGTAAAAAAAAAAAACATAAATAATTTGATAATTCTTTTATCTGGACCAGCATGATATCGAATAAAATATCAGATTTCATTTATGGATTTGATAAGATTGTGGCAGGATTTTTTTAATTTGAATAAAATATGTTCAGTAATAAGCCAATTAATAAAAAAATGAAAATGAAAAGTGAAAAACACTAAGCATAAAAACAGGAGTGTTTTTGAATACAGTAGTGAACAATAAACTCAATATAGTATCAGCAAAATCAGAAACCCCAAACCTGTCTGTGATTGGTCGACCAGTAACTTTGACTATTAGTTAATTGTCAGTGATGGCTGAGGATGTTTTGTTTGCTAGAGCGCAAGACAAATTTCCCTGAGTGGGGCAGTACATTGGAAGTACATTGTATTGTATCATTTCATATCGTATCACATGGTATCACATGGTATCGCATTGCATCACATCGCATTGCATTGCATCGTATCGCATCTTTTGGTATTGTATCGTATCGATTTATTTCCTTTATGAAAAAGGTTTTTGTCCCTGCTGTTTTGAAGTTTTTTCTGAAAGGGTTGTCGTGTTTTTTAAATGATAATAATAAAGCAGTAATAAGAAACAGTGAACTGACTGTAGTCACTGGGGTTTCTATTTAACAAAATTCCACTGGTTGCTCCGAGGATTTCATTGGTAAACCAGTCAGGCCACTGTGGCTGTGATTGCTCTGCTTCAGAGCTCAGCCATATCACGGGTCAGTGGGTTTATAAGATCAGCTGCTCCAGGACTGAATATATGACCACGGCATCCACAGATGAGAGTGCCAACCTCAGTCCCACCCCGCTGAAAATGTTTTTTTTACATAGAACTCATCACAAGTTTTCCAAACAGACAGAAAAACCCCACGCATGAAACGACATGCAGATGAAAAAAGTAATTTCAAACAGATCTCCTGTTTGATCCTGTCTTCCTTGGCTGATCCAGAGCTGGGAAGTCCAAACGATCTGACAGACGCCTTCGGGAAAGAGCCGAAGTTTCTTAGGGAAACTTAGAGCGAAAAGTCCACAAAAACATTTGCTGAGGGAAGAGTGAAGCACAGATGAATACATTTAAGATCGTTGGTGTAATGAAAATTGGAAAGAAACTTTCAGACATTTTACAGAGTTTACTTTTTACAGGAAGGAAGACGATGTTGTCACAGAATATCTAAACAAGATTCTGGAACAAAGGAGAATCTCTGCCGTGTCCAGAACAGGAGAAGGAAACCAACGAGAGAGGAAACTAAACCAGCAGCGTCTCCAGACGATGGCAGGAACATAATCTTGACTTGAGAGCTGCTGAGCCTGTGGATTTAAGAAGCCCATTTGGACCAAGTGCCACTGAAATCAGCTGAGTAGCCTCTGTTCTTTTTCACAAACTGAACTTTGATTTATTTGATAAACCAAGTATGTTGTCGGTCAGATTTTTTACAGCCTTAATCCCTTAATCAAATGAAGGACCTTGAAGTACTTTTCACTGCACGATGACTCTCTAGATATATCCTAAATCTTTTTGAATACTGATTGGAGTGAACCCACTATCTAAGCCTTGGGTGTGTCCCCGAATTAGTGGATTAGTAGGACGGGAACAAGAGACAACGGACACGGATGACCAAGACAAAGACAGAATATATGTGACTTTGCCAAAAATGTTTTATGTCACAGTACATGGAGTCGCTTCATGATCTTCTGTCGTCTGAAAATGTTTTATGTCACAGTACATGAAGGAGTCGCTTCATGATCTTCTGTCGTCTTACTGTCGTATGGACACCAAAGTCTTTGGGTCTTCTTGTTTTGTTTTAAAATTGCTGAATAAGATTTAATATATATATATATATATACACACACACACACATATATATATATATATATATATATATTTTTATTCAAATATTCCAAATCAGTGTATTGCTATAATATTTACCAACATACAGTATGTATTTTAATTTTCTTTGATGAGTACAGTTTGTGACTCCTTGATTGGCGGACAGTTTGCATGTTTTAATTTGACGGCTAAGCCTCTCTCAGCCCGTCCCTTTGCCCCGCCTCACTTCATCATGACCCCCATGGACACGTGCCTACCCCAGGGTCACCTCCACACCGTCTGACACCTGAGATCTGCCTCAGCTTTACAGCCCTTTTAAATCTGTTGCCCCTCCGTTGAAGGCTCTTGTCTTTTGAGGGGAATAACTATTCATTCTAACGCTTCATTGTCAAATTGACATTTAATTTAATACAATTGCTGACTAAGTATTTAAATATGATCGTTCGGTACAACGCATGGTCAGAGATGTCTGACCTGCTCTCATTTAGGCTCCTGCCTCCTGTATGGTAATCAGTCAGCAGGAGCCTGAGTTTGTAATTGGTTCTTTGGGCTCAGCCGTTTCTGAAGTGATAATAAAAGCGGAGGAAAATGAAGGGAGCGGGGGGGGGGGGGGCGAGGGGGAGACAAAGTCATCAAAAACATCCCCAAGGAGTCATCTCATCTTTATTCCCGGCCCGGGGCCTGTACTGTAGCTAACCTCACACTGAATCAATCCATGAAAGCTCTGTCCCTTTACCCTGCGTACAAAATGCCGCGTCCTTACTTCTAATCACTGTGAAAAGACAAACACGTAGCAGTTTTAAATATTTTTGCGCGGAAACTGATTTTCTGGCACAGATGAAACAGTGCTGACCATCGCGTTTGCTGAAGCTAACAGAGACTGCTGGAGCCCGGGGGTCCAAAGTTGTTCAGTGGCAGCAGATGGGATAATGTATAAATACCCACAGACCAACTGTGACACTGACAGACTATCATTTAGTGACTTACATGTGCACAGCACTTCTTCTGTTCTTCTGTTTGTTTAGTGATGCTGTTGTAAAGATACCTACAGTACATGTTTGGTACTGCAACTGTCAGGATCCTCAGGAGTATGGTCCACAGATGAGGACGGACCTCCTTCACACCACCAGCTGCAAGTTTAAAGAGGAAGTGGAGTTCATGGAAGCAGCTGCTGACAGAGGTTTGTTTCCTCCTCTTCCTTCTTTTATGACCTCTGTTGCCCTGGACTCACCAGAGGGGTTTTTACAAACTCTTGTTTCCTTGGTCAAAGTGACATTGGGAAATATAAGTCATTCTGTTGAGGATAACACAGGTATAAAAACCTACTGTGTGCACTCGCAAAGTTCTTTACACTGGACATCAACCCAGTTGACCAGTGATTACCAAACCCGGCCTAACTATCTAATCCAGCTTGCGACTGGATTCCAAAATAATAATGTTAGAAAAAAAAAATATTTTTATTTTATTTTATTTGAGTGTCTGAGCCCAAAGGTCCAACAAATATAGTTGGTGACTCCTGGTAAAAAATTAACTATAGTACTACACTATCAATACTGATCGTTTCTTAAGCATTTTTTGAAAATATATATGAGAGAAAAATATTTGTTAATTCAATAATTTGTTACATTTCTAAATAACAATTTGTATTTCTCTCAGTTTCTTATTAAGAAAACATTCACTTTAAATAAGACGTGAATGTCTTTTTACGTCCACGTCCTTTGTTCGGTGAGAAAAGGTAGAGAAATATTATAGTCTTATAATGAAAGCCGTGAGACCACCTTATTTTTAATTACACCTATAATCAGTTAGAGTGGAAAGAAGCCCCCTCAAGTCACTCTCTGTTGTTTTCTCCCCTGTCCTCGCCTGAGTCTGTCCTCATGGCTCTGTGTCTATTCTTTCTTTACGTGTCTTCAGATCCTGTCTCCCTCTTCCTCCACTGCTGTCACTGCAGATCAGTGATGTTTTGATGCTAACGTCTCACTTCAGCAGCTCATTACAGGGGAGGAGGGGGAGTGATGGAGGAGTCAACACAAGATAAGACAACTATATCTTATTTCCATCATTCTTAATGATGATAAACAAAGACAAGTTGTGAAATTATAAAATATAGAATTAGTTATATATAGATATGATATATAGATAAATAATACACATTATATTATTTTTATTACTATCAATATTATTGTTGTTATTATTATTATTATCAATTAAAGCAAAGGTCAAAGGTGAAGCAGAAACTTGACCTTTGACCTGCTGGAACAGCTACAGCAGACTTTAAACTGTGTATTAGTTGATACTGTGAAGAGGAGATGTTCCTATAAAGTTGTATTCCATTGTAAAACCTCACCCACTCAGAGGACAATGAGACAGAGAGACGTATTTTTTAAAAAAACAAGAATTAATCAGAGATTCCAGGTACAGTGTGTACAGGTACTGTATGATCAGTCCTTTTCCAAACTCTCTCTGGTGAAATTCACAGATCTATCAGGGAGTCACTGATTGCCTCATTAGCTGCCGCTGCTCCCAAATCACAGGGTAATTACACACAGACGGCGACTCCTCCATCAATCAACGTGTCTGTCCATCAGTGAGGATCACAGTCAGTGGAGGTGAAAAACATCACTTGCTTTTCTGCCTCATTGACTGGTAAACGTTGTTGAATCCCAGTATTTTCTCTTCTCTTCAGTTGGACTCATTCAAGCAGAAACAGAGAGTCATTCCCTTAGTCCTTGTCTTAAACGAAGACTCAAGACTCAAAGATTCAAACTGAGGTGAAGCTTGGACACACTGCTATGATGTCTAGTTTAGAGACGGTGGCTTTGTCCGTTAGGAGGCTGAGCTGGAGGTGAGATCTTCCCTGGGAGTGACCAGGATGGACAGGTAGAGCAGGTGGAACAATTTAGTAATGAAGTTAGAGAGGTGAGACGGAGACGGTTTGGACATAACATAGGGGGAGAGAAAGAGAGAGAGAGAGTGTGAAGATATTGGACAAATGGTGTTGGAGATGGAGCTTCCACGGAAGAAGAGAAGAAGAGGAGACCAGAAAAGTATTATGGATGCAGTGATGGAGGATATGGAGATGGTTGGTGTAACAGCAGAGGAGGG